GCTCTTCCACCACCTCTATGACCTCCGTCCCCAAACCCCTCAAGTTCCTACGGCCACATTATGGCAAGCTGAAGGAGATCTATGAGAACATGGCTCCGGGAGAGAACAAGGTAAAGGCTCTTGACTCCAGCATCCCATGAGGCTGGGGAAATGGTGGTGGGGCAGGTGATGATAGAGCCCTCCGGACCTCGTGATCTAACATGATCCTCTCTGACTTGTTCTGGTGGATTATAACTTGCCAGGGCTGTGCCTTTGCTGCCTGTCGCAGGAAGGGTATTGTGTCCCTGGCTGCCCCTGCTTCCCCATGCCGAGCCGTGTGTCTCAGCCCTGGTGCTCTTTCCTCAGCGCTTTGCGGCAGACATCATTTCTGTTCTGGCCATGACCATGAGCGGGGAGCGTGAGTGCCTGAAGTACCGGCTGGTGGGCTCCCAGGAGGAGCTGGCATCTTGGGGGCACGAATATGTCAGGTAAGCGTGGGAGCAGGGCTTGGGGAAGGACAAGGGCTCAGGGGGATCTCCCCAAGTGCTTTGACTCTAGCTCACCTGGGAGGTGTCCCGACTTGCTGGACTTGTGCTCTGCTGCCCCTGTTATGTCTGCACATGTGTTACCTCATCCCGTCCCCACAGTGATTTGCTCTCTGCAGAGTTCTTGTTGCGGGGGCCTCTGTAATCTCTGCTCTTAACCCTGTTCCTCCTCTGGGCTTGTCCCCCATAAGCTCTTGCAGGAGTATGGGGCCCCTGTAAATGATACACAGCCCTGACTGACTGGTAGCAGCTAGCTGCTGCCGGTCCCTGGGGCTGGGTGAAGTTGGTTTCTGTGGTGGTAATGTCCCTTTGTCCCTGCAGGCACCTTGCAGGGGAGGTGGCCAAGGAGTGGCAGGAGATCGATGAGGCTGACAAGGCTCAGAGGGACACGCTCCTCACACTGGTCAAGGAGATCGTCCCCTATAACATGGCGCACAATGCAGAGCATGAGGCCTGTGACCTGCTCATGGAGATTGAGCAGATGGACATGCTGGAGAAGTACATTGATGACAACGCCTACTCCAAAGTGTGCCTCTACCTGACCAGGTGAGGGACCTCAGCAGCCTCAGGTGCTGGAGGGGGCCTGGTCCCTGGTGGGCTGAGGTTGCCTGACGTGGTCATCACCCTCATGCCTGTCTCCTTCTCAAAGCTGCGTAAGCTACGTCCCAGAGCCCGAGAACTCAGCCCTCCTGCGCTGTGCTCTGGGCATCTTCCGCAAGTTCAGCCGCTACCCTGAAGCCCTGCGCCTGGCTCTGATGCTCAATGACGTGGAGCTGGTGGAGGACATCTTCACTTCCTGCAAAGATGTGTAAGCAGAGACTCATTCCTTATCTTCTGGGGCCTTTGCCCGTTGTGGTGGGGCATTAGCCACCTGTCTGGGCCAACTTGGGCTGGATCCCGCCACCACCAGAGGTGTCTGGGCGTTTGGACTGAGACTCTTGTCCCTGAAATCAAGATGGGCAAGAGTGGGTCAATTCTGGGCTGCTCTTGTGTGCTTCTAGAGCACCGTTTGGTGAGTGCGTGTTTGTGCTGGGGCTGGCTGTGGTCTGGGCACTTGTGAAACCTCTTACCTGTGCGCAGAGTTGTCCAGAAGCAGATGGCCTTTATGCTGGGCCGCCACGGGGTCTTCCTAGAGCTGAATGAGGATGTGGAGGAGTACGAGGACCTGACCGAGATCATGTCCAATGTCCAGCTCAACAGCAACTTCCTGGCCTTGGCCAGAGAGGTGAGTGTCCTGTCTGGGAGAAGAGCCCTGGGCTGCCTCCAGCTGTGGTTGCCCTGGCTGCCAGGCTCTGTGGCCAGATCTGGGAAGAGATCCTTCATCCCTATGAGCTTGGCCAGGCACCTCCTGGAGAGGTTGTCCTTGCAGGGCAGCTGTCCTGGGGTGTGCTGGCCAGGAGGTAGCCCCTTTCTCCTTTGTCTCTGCAGCTGGACATCATGGAGCCCAAAGTGCCAGATGACATTTACAAAACTCACCTGGAAAATAACCGTAAGGGCTCTTGTTGTTGCCTCTGTCATTTCTCCTGTGGGGAGCTCCTGGGACTGCGAGGCACCTCTGGGCCGGCGCAGTCGGCTGTGTATGCCGAGGTAGGCAGATGGTCTGCCTGTGGTCTCTGACCTGGTGTGGAGCAGACCCAGCTGCCTACCATGGATTTGGGCTCCTTCCTGCTGGTGGTGGGACAGGTCCTCCATGGCGTGGGATGGTTGTGTGGTGGAGGTCTGGCAGGGTTTCTCTTGCTGCTTGGCTCACCCCAACATTGTTCCCCAGGGTTCGGGGGGAGTGGTTCCCAAGTGGACTCTGCCCGGATGAATTTGGCGTCCTCCTTCGTGAATGGCTTTGTGAATGCTGCGTTTGGACAGGACAAGCTGCTAACAGACGATGGCAATAAATGGTTGTACAAGAACAAGGACCACGGTGAGGGGGGATGGCTGGGCAAGGGCTGGAGGTGCCCCTAGGCTTGGGGTCCCTTTTGGGTCCCTGCTGAAAGCAGGGATGTAGGGCACAGCTGCTGCTGGGCTGCCCCGTATCGCTGGCCACCACCTGCCCCAGGCAGGGCACATCAATTCAGGGCTGACATGGGCTCTTCTCCCCTGGAACTGCAGGGATGCTGAGTGCTGCAGCCTCCCTGGGCACGATACTGCTGTGGGACGTGGACGGGGGCCTCACACAGATCGACAAATACCTGTACTCCTCGGAGGATTACATCAAGGTCGGTGGCACTGATCCTGGCAGGGGCTCTATGGCTGCGTGGGGCAGCCCCGCTGTGGGCTGGGTGTGTGGCTGGCTCGGGGAATGGTTGACCTTGCCTTGGTCCACCATGTGGCTCAGCTCCTGCCCAGAGAGGGTTGGATGCTCTGTGTCCCAGCTTTTTGAGTGGCTCACAGCAAGGTGGGGAGCTCTTGGGGAGTGCCTGAGGCACCTTTTGTGGTTCCCTCGTCACAGAGCTATGAGCTTCGGCCTGCTCAGATGGATCCAGAGTGGTGTTGCTCACTTGGTACCAACTTGCCCATCCCAGGGAGCGGGTGTAATGTGTGGGGTGACATTAGTCACTGAACTGGCAGGGAGCTTTGTGTGTTGGTGACTGGTGTATGACGATGCCTCTGCCTTGCAGTCGGGAGCCCTCCTGGCCTGTGGCATCGTCAACTCAGGGGTGAGGAATGAGTGTGACCCTGCCCTGGCCCTCCTGTCTGACTATGTCCTCCACAACAGCAACACCATGAGGATCGGAGCCATTTTTGGGTAAGGGCCTAACCCCAGCCTCCCCCAGGCTGCACAGGGTGGTGCGCAGGGCGATCCCCCTTAACGCTTCCCGCTAATGCTCCCCTGGACTCCCTGCAGGCTGGGGCTGGCATACGCGGGCTCCAACCGCGAGGACGTCCTCACTTTGCTGCTACCTGTGATGGGAGACTCCAAGTCCAGCATGGAGGTAGGGAGCAAGACAGGGTACACCTGGGCTTCCCGCTTCCTTACCCGGTCCCCAACAGCTCCTGTGGATGCAAGGGCTGTCCTGCAGTCGCTTTGGGCTCCAGGAGCCAGGCTACATGTCCGTGCCTGGCCCCGTGCTGTGCCAGAAGTGCATGACCCTCTTTGGGGGCTAGCTGTGGGCCAGCTTGCTCTACGCTGTCCTCACACGTGCAATGTCTCCTTCCTTCCTTTGCCAGGTGGCTGGTGTGACCGCCCTGGCCTGTGGGATGATATCAGTGGGCTCCTGCAACGGGGATGTCACCTCAACCATCCTCCAGACCATCATGGAGAAATCGGAGACGGAGCTGAAGGACACATATGCCCGATGGCTGCCACTTGGCCTGGGCTTGAACCACTTGGGTAGGGCTGGGCAGTGCCAGTGCCTCGTGGGTTGGGGAACAGGGTGGGAGCATCCCTCTGCTGCTGTGCTCTGACCACTGTGCTTTCCCTGGCAGGGAAGGGAGAAGCGATTGAGGCCATCTTGGCAGCGCTGGAGGTGGTGTCGGAGCCGTTCCGCAGCTTCGCCAACACGCTGGTGGACATTTGCGCCTATGCAGGTGAGTTGCAACGGCTGATGAGGCAGGAACAGGTTCTGGACCCTTCTGCTGATCCTGGCCCTCCGCTCTCACCCCCAGGCTCAGGGAACGTCCTGAAGGTGCAACAGCTCCTGCACATCTGCAGTGAGCACTTTGACTCCAAGGAGAAAGAGGAGGACAAGGACAAAAAGGACAAAAAAGAGAAGGAGAAGAAAGAGAGCTCAGCTGACATGGGGGCTCACCAGGTGGGGAAATGTGGGCTGAGGCCCATTTCCCAGCTGCAGAAACTGGCATTGGGGTGGTCCCTAAGCCAACTTGCGGAATCAGAGCTGGAGGAATCAGCCCCCAGCAGCATCCCCCGCTTTCCCTGTTCCCCTGGGCTGAGGGTGTGAGAAACATGGGTTTTGGGCTGGGTGCCCCCTGCCTGGCACTCAGTGCCTGTGTCACCACAGGGTGTAGCAGTGTTGGGAATCGCACTCATTGCCATGGGCGAGGAGATCGGTGCTGAGATGGCTCTGCGCACGTTTGGCCACTTGGTGAGTGGGGACAGCACGGAGCTGGGAAGAGACTGGGTCTTGCCTTGCATCTCTGTAGACGTTGCTGCCCTTAAGCTGGGTCTAACACACTTTCATCTCTGTGCAGCTGCGGTACGGGGAGCCCACCCTCCGTCGTGCCGTGCCTCTGGCCCTTGCGCTTATCTCTGTCTCCAACCCTCGGCTCAACATCCTCGACACCCTCAGCAAGTTCTCCCATGACGCTGACCCTGAGGTCTCCTACAATTCCATCTTTGCCATGGGCATGGTGGGCAGCGGTAAGCTTGTGGAACAGCCTGGTTTGGGGCTTATGCTGGGGGGAAGGTGGGGCACCCAAGCTGTATACCCTACCCTCTGCCTGTACCCCCTTTTCTCCAGGTACCAACAATGCCCGGCTGGCAGCGATGCTGCGGCAGCTTGCCCAGTACCATGCCAAGGACCCCAACAACCTCTTCATGGTGCGGTTGGCCCAGGTGATGATCACTTGTGGCGGGGAAGGGGCAGGTTGGGATCCCTGCCCAGGTGTGGGAGGGTGGTAGTGTCCTGGGGGTGTCTTGGTCTTGCTGGGCAGGGCTGGGGGGTCTCAGGTGTTACCCCACCGTGCTCTTAAGTGCTTTCTCTGCCACACCAGGGCCTGACCCATCTGGGCAAGGGGACGCTGACCCTGTGCCCGTACCACAGCGATCGGCAGCTCATGAGCCAGGTGGCCGTGGCTGGGCTGCTGACCGTTCTCGTGTCCTTCCTGGACGTGCGCAACAGTGAGTACTGTGGGCTCGGTCCCCACCCTGGCACCCCTCTGTCCTGCGGAGCGGGCATTGCTCAGCTTCCTTACTTCTGTCTCCCCTTCAGTTATCCT